GAGAAATATAATGCAGTTCCTCCCACGAGGAAGGGCCTCGAAGGGTTTTGGGGCCCTTTTCTTCAGTGGACTGGATGAGGAAGTGTTCGTCTCGCCTGCAGCCCTAACACTGAAGGCGGGATTCATTATGAGGTCGTCCGGTGTCTGCCTTATTGAAATGTTAAATCTTATTTTGTCCGCTGCCAGCAGCATTTCTGGAGTCTTCAGGGTTTTCCAAGTACAAACCTGAAAACTGTGACATCTTCACAAATCATACAGTCTATTATATTCCTGACGGAGTGATAATATATGAATATAGAAAAAGGCATAATAAGGTTGCCGTGGACATATCTTGAGCTGTTAGCAGAGCAGAAACAGGGATGTGCAACCTAATTGTGGTTGTCTTATCTTTTAATAGTATTTTTGGGTTTGGCCAGATTGAAGCTGACTCTCTTCACTATGTCCGGGTAGTGAGGGTAGAAGGTCAGTAAAAGTGGAGAAGTGAGTAAGTCATTTTTCTTCCTTGTCATAATGTATGTGGAGCAGTGGGATATGTGTCATAACAGAGCAGAGCAGCTTGAGGTACTGCAGTTGGTAGAGGAAGCTCAGTATTAGAACCAATGTGACTCTGTTCTCACAGATATTGTATTTTATCATTTGCTCTTCTGTTTGGCCCTCTTTGCATAATGACTAACTAAAAAGGCTCTCGTTTCTAATATAAGCTTTCAATAACCTAGCCAAAGCCAGTGATCCATTCCTCCAATTCTGCTTTTCCATTCAGACAAGCATGAGATTTAATCAAACGTCCTCTTGGGAACATGTGTAATCGACGTGGGACAGCTTTCCCCTTTGTGAGTGAGGGAAATCATAAGGGAGGTGGTGTTTTCTCTATGGGCTTTTTACCAATGAGGTGCATATGGTTCACAAAGGTTGACCTTTACATAGATAAGCTCATCTCAGTGTAAAAGTTACCATTGATTCATTTTGTTTCTATGTGACTCTCAGATTATAACTGACACATGAAAGATTCATTTGAACCCTATCGTATGGTACAAATCGTTCACCAAATCAAATGTTTATTGATCCCCTGACCAAAACTGAATAACTGCAAATATGCTTCAAATCAAGAGTTAATATTGAAAATGTCAAATGTATTATTTAAAACTGTGCTGTACAGTTGCAAAATTCATTAAGCCTTACGAAATCTAAATGTGTCCTACTTTTAGGTTTGTTAAAAAAAAGAATTAGGCCACAAATATTTGTACTTATAGAACTACAACATTACAAACTGTGATCATTCCTTTCTTCTTCATTTCAATTCCACATGATATCCCAGCTTTGTGTGAATTTACTTACTTTATTAACAGTCCTGCACCACATCAGTTGTGAATGAAAATTAAACAGAAGACAGGGTGGCATAGAACAGTAACATTCTTCTGGCTTCAGTGAGCAGCTGTTTCTGTCCCCAGACTCTCCTGTCTTTTTTTGTGTTTTGTCCAGCTTTTGCACTTTAGCCATAACCACTGTCTTTCTCATTCCACATATTGTGAATGCAACCAGCAAATGTATAAAGTTACATCACTCTATGTACAAGGGAGGCAGCTCTCATTCATTTCTTTCTGGGTGCCCTCGTTTTCACCCTGACCTTAAGGTGTAAATGAGCCTCTGTTTGCAATCAAAACCTCCCACAAGGTTTTGCCAGCACTGCCATATTGGTGTGATAGTTGGTGAAGTGGAAAATGTTTCACACATCTGTATTAACTTTACACTGTGGTTCTGAGAATTTAAAAGTAGTGTATGTATATGAATGCCATTTTCAAGGTGCTTTTGTGTTTTCTTGCCCACCCCAAAAGGTTTTCACATTTTTGTCTCTCATGGAGCGAAGAGGGCGAAAAGAGGGCGAAAAGAGGGCAAATTGGAAATAACCTCCATCCGTCCATCCATGCATGTTGTGAGCATGGTTTCCATTTTGGTGTGTGGCTGTATCTAGGTGTAGATATATGTGTGTGTGTATATATAAATATATATATATATATATGTGTGTGTGTGTGTATATATATATATATATATGTA